AGTCATACTTTACGTTATTTTGTGTTTGAGTTTACCTGTTCACAAGGGAATCTAGTTTACAAAAGAAAAGAATGAGAACAACGGTTAACCAGATAGTAAGTTTGAAGATACTGAACTAACAAATGTAGATCACTAGTGGAAGTACAACGCTTTATAAAAGTTATATTGCAGGTTTCTTTTAACTCTTTAGGTTACTATATGGTGATGAATAGGATTAAATAAATTCTTAAATACATTAAATACTATTTAAAGCTGTGCATGTTTTCTTAAATTATATTCATTAGAATTAGAAGTTTTGTGTGTTGTTAAGCACAAAGCTACACATAGAGCTATCTGCTCCATTGAAGGATTTTAGCGATGTAAGTCTGTAAACTTACCGCTGACCCACTGGGAGACGGAAGTCATTTTGAATATCTATTTGTGAAGTAGCGAATGAATCAGTTTTAAATTCTTATGGTATCTATGAACCTAATCGCAGAGGGTATAATGAGAGTGTGTAACTTATAATGAACTGAATTCGTTTAACCTCAACAGATAATGAGAGTGTGTAACTTATAATGAACTGAATTCGTTTAACCCTCAACAAATAATGAGAGTGTGTAACTTATAATGAACTGAATTCGTTTAACCCTCAACAAAATACGTAACATTATTTTACAATATTGGAAAAGCATAAATTAAATATTGTAAACAAAAACTTTATAATATATTATCTAATCAGTCATTTAATGAAGAAGAATATGCAAATGATCACTAATCTTTTCAAAATTTTATTCATTATAAAACTAAGCTAGTAATAATGATTGCCGATAAATACGTAATAAAATAAAGAAATATTTAAACTTAATAAATTATTTTTACACTCTCCATGGTATCCTTAATTCCTATTCTAATTATTTTCACACTCTCCATTGTATCCTTAATCCCTAATCTAATTATTTTCACACTCTCCATTGTATCCTTAATCCCTAATCTAATTATTTTCACACTCTCCATTGTATCCTTAATCCCTAAGCTCAGCTTAAAAAAATTCAATTTGTACTTTCAACCACCTTTTTTCAGGTTATCTTGGATGTTATTTAAATATTGGTGCTAGATGGCGCTGATAAATAATGTAACTACCTGCAGTTACCCACAATTCCAGAGCTTTGGACGGCTCTACAGGGATTCTTTCTATTTGAAAACAAAGTCGTTCGAAGTATCGATCTAAAATCTTTAGAATAAGTTGAAGAGAAGCACATTCTGAAGTCACGAGCTTTTCTCAGACCGACGAAGGAAACCTCGATCCGGCAGACTGTGAGTGGGCTGCTAGATGAGTATTTACCCACTTGTGACGAACTTGCAGTTCTAGACCAATAGCAGCCTCAAAACACATTTTAGCCCAGCCCACACGAACGGCTTACTCCTCAGATGTTCTTTAGTATTATTGGTAGAGAAGTCTAAGCAATTGAGGTTTGATTTTTTCCTTAAAAAAGAGCTATCAGTTCATCTTGAAAGTTGCCCCATGAGCCACGTTTTGCTAGCGAAAAGGTTTAAACTTTGTGGTATTTGGCAAGATTAACAGTGTTTCTATTATAAAGCTGCTAACCAATGAATATTCGGAACGTGAAGTGGTGAAAAACTTTAACGCGCGTTTAGACATTGGTTTGTAACGGAAATGAGTTATCTGTGCGCGTGAGCCAGTGTCTGGTACTGTGCAGGGCACGTGTAATTGATATAGTTTCTAGCGAAAGGCTCTGGGATTTAGGGCTTGACTTTCAATCTTACTGATGTTATTGAACAATACTCTTATTTCGCAACAATAGTTGTCTTCTGTATTTTTAATTGTAACACGAGCAGAACGCTTGAGTATGATGTAAGTTGTTTACGATCTAACGTTTTGTTGATTTTTTTTTTCTCAGTATTATACGCGTCATTGAGAACAGACCACCAAATCTCACGTCTGACCGGACAAATCCAGTCTTTGACTAACATATCAATTTACTATTTAATCAAGCATTATAACACATACTATATCTTGTGGAATGTCTGTGCTTAAGCCTTTTTCCGTGTTTAGATTTTTGATATCTCTCCGTCTGAAAGTAACAACATTGTGACGAGAACCGGAATTTGGCTTCACTGTTTCAGCATTTTGACTTGCTCATGTCCAACAAAGCACAACGAACTTTGGCTCAAGTTACGCCAACTCAAGGCATGGCTAGTCACAGCAGCGGTTTCCGTGGGAGGCCAGCATTTTTCCCAGCACCTCTCAAGTTTCCCGGCAGTATGCAGGTAGGGCTAAGCCGTCGACCCCAGCAATGTTGTCACTCCTTTTTTTTTTATTCCACTTTGTTTTCGATAAGCTATAGATAAAGGCATGTCGCTGTTTCGATAATGATTACAAGTAACCATCTAAGTCTCAAGTGTTTAATTAATATATGCTAGTTTTTCGTAGGATCATAATTATTAAAGTTGTCAGGTGAATAGTTGATGTGATATTTTGCCGTAAAATAGAAGTAAGCTTTTCCTAAATATTCTAATGTGTGTGCCCTGTTTCGTTAAGACTGCCTTAAAGTCGAGCACGTGCTTGCCATCTCGCCTTCTAGGGACGATTGACGTTAACTGGCTCCTGTGTATCTTAATGAATATAGTTTGTCACTATAATTTATACATTATTAAGTATTATTGACGTGTATTGTTAATTTTCGTGCTCACGTGTCTATAAATAGATAGATTGATACACGATAGTAATAAGCATACTTATACGGGGAACATTAACGGTTGATTGTCACTTTGTTACCCCAACAACAATAATATATATATTCCTCTCGACCGAACCGTAACAATTTATCCTCAATCCCTCACTTTTGAAGCTCAAGTTACACTTTTGACGACAGTTATACTATATACACACAGAGTGTTACAGTATGTAAACAATGGTGACAGTGTTATACTACATAGACAATGACGATAGTGGTTATACCATATACCACAATGACGACAGTTACACTATATATATACACAATGTCGACAGTTATACTATATACACACACAATGACGACAGTTATACTATATACACACAGAGTGTTACAGTATGTAAACAATGGTGACAGTGTTAAACTACATAGACAATGACGATAGTGGTTATACCATATACACAATGACGACAGTTATACTATATACACACAGAGTGTTACAGTATGTAAACAATGGTGACAGTGTTAAACTACATAGACAATGACGATAGTGGTTATACCATATACACAATGACGACAGTTATACTATATACACACAGAGTGTTACAGTATGTAAACAATGGTGACAGTGCTATACTACATAGACAATGACGATAGTGGTTATACCATATATACAATGACGACAGTTATACCATATACACACAGAATGTTACAGTATGTAAACAATGACGACAGCGTTATACTACATAGACAATGACGATAGTGTTTATACCATATACACAATGACGACAGTTATACTATATACACGCAGTGCTACAGTATGTAAACAATGACGACAGTGTTATACTACATACACAATGACGATAGTGGTTATACCATATACGCAATGACGACAATTATACTATATACACACAGAGTGTTACAGTATGTAAACAATGACGACAGTGTTATACTACATACACAATGACGACAGTGTTATACTACACACACAATGACGACAGTGTTTATACTATATACACAATGACAATAATCTTATAGTATATACACAATGACGACAATGTTAAGTATATACTCGTTGACGACAGTGTTTATACTATATACACAATGACGACAACCTTATAGTATATACACAATGACGACAATGTTAAGTATATACACGTTGACGACAGTGTTATACTATAAACCAAATGACGACAGTATTTATACTATATACATAATGACGACAGTATTATACTATGTACACAATGACGACAGTGTTTATTACTACATACACAACGGCGACAGTGTTTATACTATAAACACAATTACGACAGTGTTATACTATGTACGCAATGACGACAATGTTTATTACTACATACACAACGACGACAGGGTTTATAATATATACACAATGACAGCAGTGTTTATACTATATACACAATGACGACAGTGTTATACTATGTACACAACGACGACAATGTTTGTTACTACATAGACAACGACGACAGAGTTTATTACTACATACAGAACGACAACAGTGTTTATACTATATACACAATGACGATAGTGTTATACTATGTACACAATGGCGATAGTGTTATACTACATAGACAACGACGACAGAGTTTATTACTACATACAGAACGACGACAGTGTTATACTATGTACACAACGACGACAATGTTTATACTATCTACACAATGACGACAGTGTTATACTATCTACACAACGACGACAGTGTTTATTACTACATACAGAACGACGACAGTGTTATACTATGTAAACAAAGATGACAATGTTTATAGTATCTACACAATGACGACAGTGTTATACTATCTACACAACGACGACAGTGTTTATTACTACATACAGAACGACGACAATGTTTATTACTACATACAGAACGACGACAGTGTTATACTATGTACACAACGACGACAATGTTTATTACTACCTACACAACGACGACAGAGTCACAGTAAACATAAAAGTGTATTTATATTCTATTCAGTTCAATATGCAGTGCATGTAAATGGCTATTTTTGGGTTAGTTTGTAGAATTGAGCAGATAACCTTTACCTTTATGTCGAGATCTGTGATAAACAAATCACTAACTGTTAAAAAATTAGAATTATTCGTTGTGGTAAATATTTATTTTCTATTGATCAAGGTTGCCCTCACCTGGACGGTTATAAAAATGGCAGTGAAGTGTTTTCTTCATGTTTTGTTTATGTTGTTTTCACCTAGATGGTTAAGAAAACGGTAGTAGAGCGTTTTGTCTATATTGCTTCCGCCTAGGTGGTTAACTAAATGGTAATGGGGCGTTTTGTTCATGTTGTTTTCACTTAGATGGTTAAATAAACGGTAGTGGAACGTTTTGTTCATGTTGTTTTCACTTAGATGGTTAAGAAAACGGTAGTAGAGCGTTTTGTCTATATTGCTTCCGCCTAGGTGGTTAACTAAATGATAATGGAGCGTTTTGTTCATGTTGTTTTCACTTAGATGGTTAAATAAACGGTAGTGGAGCGTTTTGTTCATTGTGCTGTGACATGATGGTTAACTAAACGGTAATAGATCGTTTTCTCCATCTTGCTTCAACGTGATGGTTAAATAAACGGTAGTGGAGCGTTTTGTTCATCATGATCTCTTCTGGATGGTTAACAAAACGGTAGAGGAGGATTTTGTTCATTGTGCTGTGACATGATGGTTAACTAAATGGTAATGGGCCGTTTTCTCCATCTTGCTCCAACGTGATAGTAAAATAAACGACAGTGGAGCTTTTTTTTTCCATCTTGTTCCCACATGATGGTTAACTAAACGTAGAGAAGCATTTTGTCCCTCTTCCTCTCACCTAGATGGTTACATATACGGCAGTGGAGCGTTTTTTCATCTTTGATCCATTTGATGGTTAACTAAACAGTAGTAGAGCGTTTTGTTTATGTTGTTTTCACCTAGATGGTTCAGAAAACGGTAGTGGAGCGTTTTGTTCATGGTTAACTATACGGTAGTGGAGCGTTTTGTTCATGGTTAACTATACGGTAGCGGTGCATTCTGTTTATCTTGCTCTCATATGATGGTTAAAATAATGGTACAGGAGCGATATTTCATATCGTTTTCACATAGATGGTTAAGAAAACGGAAGTGGAGCGTTTTTCCATTTTCCTCCCTCTTGGATGGTTAACTAAGCGGTTGTGGAGCATTTTGTATATCATGCTCTCACATGATGGTTAATTAAACGGCAATGGTGCGTTCTGTGTATATTTCTTTCCCATGATTGTTAACTAAACGGTAGTGGAGCGTTTTGTCCATCTTTCTCTAACCTCGATTGTTAACTAAACGGAATAGTGGGTTCGTTGGGTATTAGATAGAACATATATAAAATTTTAAATAATCAACAGGTGCCGTCACTGTTGCTTACAGGGGATTGGTTGGATAACAGGTAGAACATATAGGTATCGTCACTGTTGCTTACAGTGGGTTGGTTGGGTATCAAGTAGAACATATATGAACTTCTAAATAACCAACAGGTGTCGTCACTGTATTTACAGGGGATTGGTTGGATAACAGGTAGAACATATATAAACGTTTACATAACCAACAGGTGTCACCACTGTTACAGTGGGTTGGTTTGGTATCAAATAGAACATATATATAAACTTTTAAGTAACAAACAGGTGTCATCACTGTTATTTACAGTGGATTGGTTGGGGTATTAGATAGAACATATATAACCTTTTAAATAATCAACAGGTGTCGTCACTGTTGCTTACAGGGGATCGATTGGTTGGATAGCAGGTAGAACATATATATAAACTTCTAAATAACCAATATGTTTCGTCACTGATACATACAATGAGTTGGTTGGGTATCAAGTAGAACATACATAAACTTCTAAATAACCAATATGTGACGTCACTGATACATACAGTGGGTTGGTTGGGTATCACCTACAACATTACATTAACTTTTACGTAACAAACAGGTGTCGTCACTGTTATTTACAGTGGATTGGTTGGGTATCAAGTAGAACATATATATAAACTTCTAAATAACCAATATGTTTCGTCACTGATACATATAATGAGTTGGTTGGGTATCAGGTAGAACATACATAAACTTTTACTTAACCAACAGGTATCCTTATTGTTACTTACAGTGAGTTGGTTGGGTATCAGGTAGAACATATATATTCTTTTACATTACCAACAGTTGTCGTCACTGTTGCTTATGATGGAGTGGCTAGGTAACACGTAGAACATGTATAAACGATTAAATAATCAACAAGTGTCGTCACTGTTTATTTTTGTACTGTTGATGATGTTTTATGATTTTTCAGGGAGTTATCAGTAAAAGGTCCGACCCTGTTTCTGAAGATTATGTAGTCACAAGATTAGATTATTTCCATTGAAGTGTCACAGTATTAGATCATTTTCAACTGTAGTGTTGCATAATTAGATTATCTTTCATAATTAGATCTTCGATATAAAATGAATCTTTATTTTTCTATAACTCTTTTATAACTGGTATTTAAGTCTGGTGTGGAAAAAGGTTTTACAAGCCTGGAAAACAATAAATATTTAGACTTCTAATACACCTTCTTACATTGTTTGCTACTTGATCGTTTTTTCTGTATCATTATGGAAACTCAGCTGAGACATCTGTACAATTTTCATTGCTTATACATATTTATATACAAGTATATTTGTTACTGCAGAAATAAAGGAAGCTATAAACCAGGTTTATTGTTTGTTTAAGAATTTCAAGGAGGTAAGAAAACCAGCCAGTTAGTTGTAACTGTATGTGTAATTTTAATGTCTTAAGGGTGCGTAAGCTCTTTCGAAGAAACGCCGGCTGTGCAACATGGGTAGGATGTTTCTCAGCCGGGGAGGGAGTCCCCCAATTTGAAGTCAAACGAGCTGCAGTAAAGACTTGACCCTTTTATTCGGAAATCACCCATTTGCAAGGATAATTCTACTGTTAGAGAAACGCGGTGGAATTTAGCTAGCCATTTATAGTCAAATAGCAATCGAGTCATGAATAGGACAGTGTCGAAAGGCTCTGTTTTATTACCCCAGTTAGAGCTACTGGGAACACTTGCTGTTCAATAAAGTACCATTTCTGGTCGACTTCTTGGAACTTAACAACTCCCTCTACGTTAGAACCGTTAAGGTACTTCATAAAATCTACCTGCTTCAATATGTGGAGATTTCATCCCCAGCCGGTCTCTCGGCGTTTCTTCGACGTCAGCTGCCTCGGGCTGAGATAGTCTTGCTAGCAGGAAACACATCCGCGTGTAACAAGAGCATCGGTTTTCCAACTAGCATTCGTTCGTATCTATACGAAACAATACACTTAGAGAACTCATCGTTTTCAAGGTCGTATCAAAGAGTGTGAAACCAACTAACATAATAAGTATTCGTTCACTTCATTTTGTAAAATACCTTTTTGTTTTTCTTAATTTTTAAAACGCAATAGCTATAAGGTACGAAACAAAGTGTATGCAATAAAAATTTCTCGTACTTATATAATTATTTATTGTCCCAATTTCATGTTATTCTATCAGCACGGGATCTATGACGTCACAATTCCTAGGAGGAAAGCTCACGATGCGTTTTTATTAATGAGCCCTGGAAAAACAATCAAACTTGAGTTAACTTGGATTGTTTGTGCATATGTTTGTGTGGAAACCAGGTGTTTATCATGAAACGCCGCGTGTCTATAGTAAAAATTGCTTTCTCTGCGTTTTCATTATACAATGGCTTTACATAATTTATATTTATATGATATAAGTAGCTTGTGCCATTTTTTCTCTAAAAAACTGTACATCTTGTGCACTGAATGGCTTTACATAATTTATATTTATATGATATAAGTAGCTTATGCCATTTTTTCTCTAAAAAAACTGTACATCTTGTGCACTGAATATGTAAGACTAGTTGATTTATTTTGTTTATTTTCTATTGTTTTTCGTATTTTTTTCACGTGGAATATTGACTCCCTCTCACCATTTGGTTTTCTCTATGAAAATGGAAAAACCTTAGTTCTTAAAAGAATATTTTCCTTCCAACTCTAGCTGTGATGATAGATGATGTGTTTTGAATGAAGAAGTAGATAAGAAGTACATTATATTAAGACGATTTTGAAGCCTCAATACGTCGTTTTAGACCAGTACGTCTTCATATAGATGAACATTAATACCGATTTATTTCATTCTCCAGCTATTTGAAGTTTTGAAGTATGGAATGATTGAATGGATATGGCGTGGAACCCATCTTCTGTACTTATAACTTGTGTTGCTGTTCCAGATGGCTATCTTCCTGGATTATTTTGCATACTGATGCTTGGGATACGTGGGTGACAGTTGTCACTGACTTATCTTTTACAAGTCGCTTTGCTTATAATCTTTAAGGCACGATTTGTTGAAAGTTTCTTTCTTGATGGCCCTGGTTTCCCAAAATGATCCATATTCCTTTGTTTTCCAATGCCAAATTACAAATCACAGATCTGAATACATTTTTATTATCTGTATGTATGACTGTTTTGTGTTGGAAAGAGCTGTTATATACCCTTCTCAAAAGCGATCAATTAAACTGTCAGAATGTGAATCTGATACATTCCGTTACACAACGACATGATATCAGTTGTAGATGTCACGTGACTTGCTAATTTAGGTATTCAAAATAATTTAGTATAATATATTCAACCTTTTTTAGAGTCTGATTAATATTCAACACTACTATCTTTACAATACACTTATATTTATATATATTACAGTGAAGTTTGTTATTCTGCCTGTAGTCTGATCCATATTCAGCATTTCAATTTTAACGTATCACGATGAAGTGATAAATTGTGGTTGTTGCCTGATCAATATACAACACTGTGTAGTAACCGTATCACGATGAAGTGATAAATTGTGGTTGTTGCCTGATCAATATACAACACTGTTTAGTAACCGTATCACGATGAAGTGATAAATTGTGGTTGTTGCCTGACCAATATACAACACTGTGTAGTAACCGTATCACGATGAAGTGATAAATTGTGGTTGTTGCCTGATCAATATACAACACTGTGTAGTAACCGTATCACGATAAAGTGGTAAATTGTGGTTGTTGCCTGATCAATATACAACACTGTGTAGTAACCGTATCTCGATGAAGTGATAAATTGTGGTTGTTGCCTGATCAATATACAACACTGTGTAGTAACCGTATCGCGATGAAGTGATAAATTGTGGTTGTTGCCTGATCAACATACAACACTATGTAGTAACCGTATCACGATGAAGTGGTAAATTGTGGTTGTTGCGGTTTTTCTTTTAGAATGCTTTTTAAAATATTTTTGTAAAAACCTGTGGATATACGAGGCTCTTAAGAGATTTATAAGTTTTCATATTTGAATTTAATATAATAAAGAAGTAACAAGACAATCAAATCACAGATATCAATATTATAACAGAACGCACATCATCAAAGATTCTGTTCACCATTTTTAGACTAATGAATAGAAAAAATACTCAGTCATCCAGTTATTAATTTCTAATTGTTTTACATCACAGGGTCTACAAATGTGCATGGACAGTTCACCTTATCTACCAGGCGCAGTCGGTTCTCCCGCCCTCGTGACCCTCACCTCACAGGCAGATGAGTCCGGCAAATCTGGTCTACAGATGCATGGTCTGCGTCCATTCTCCTCCTCCCAAGAACTTGACAAAGAACCTGTCTCGCCTTATCACACGCCCTTCACGTCAACTGCTGCTTTTCCTCTTCACACTATATTCGGACAAACAGACTCATACCCCACCATGCCGACCCACCTTCTCCCTGTTTCTTCCCCCATTATGACCCCTCCTGGTTTGAACAGGCAAGTGAGCTTCCTGAATTCTGGAACGGGGGGCGCCTTTAGACACCTGGGAGTCACAGATGATCGAAGAATTAATGGATTTCATAGATCTGCTTTTGTTCCCACTAAATGTTTGAAAGTGGACAATTCTGATTTTTTAACGTCTAAGTCTTTTCAGTATTCACAATACCAGGGTACTTTAAATTCGTCCTTTCTGACCCCTCCAAACAGCAGTAGTACTCCCTCCCTTACAGTGGAGCTATCTCCCTCCGCTCAAGTTAAAGAAGAATGTTCTACTGATCTCTCTCTAGCTTCTCCCGAACCTCGACTGGCCGAAACTCCAACCTCTGTAAATCAAGAGCAAGGTACATCCGATGAAGTCCATCATCATCAAAGTAAGGCTGTTGTTTCTTGTGAAGCTAATAATTATTATGATTAAGATTCTTTGATACATCCAATGTAGTTCATCATCATCAAAGTAAGATTGTTGTTTTTTATGAAGCTGGTAATTATTAAGATTAGTATTATTTAATACACCCGATGAAGATCATCATCATCAAAATGAGGCTGTTGTTTATTGTGAAGCTAATACGTATTATGATTAATATTATTTGATACACCGATGATATCCATCATCATCAAAGTAAGGCTGTTGTTTTTATAAGTTAGTAATTATTATGATTAGTATTATTTGATACACCCGATGAAGTCCATCATCATCAAAATGAAGCTGATGTTTTTTGTGAAGATAATAATTTTATGATTAGTATTATTTGAAAAACGTAACTGATCTTTATTTCACTCCAAACCACCTATTATAGACAAAAGGCATTTCAAAAATTATGGATTTATTTAATTTCATGACGATAGCGAACTTAATGATAAATGGTAGAATCAGTAAAAACCATAAGGATTGTTTTATCAAACCACAATCACAACGTTCTGACAGACTTGATCAACAAAGATTAGGCAGTGTTATAAAAACATTAGTGATCTGGATACATTGCACTGTGATTGTTGGCAACATTCGAGAAGATACCACAAACTTAACAACAACACCTTCAGTTCGGGTAGAGCTTTTACTATACGTGTGATTGTTTTGTGTTAACTTTTAGTTGAATGTACTGTATTTTGATTTGAGAATGACAGTCTGAAGTTTTTGTGCAAGAAAACGAAATGTATCGTATGTTTGCTGTAGAGTGACGTCATTATGTGTTCTACTTCAAATAAATTCAGTCAGCTAAAACACTGTCTCAGCACATTAAGTACAGTACAAGTTTTCTCTGACCTTAACTTAGAATTGTAATCTACTGTTCAGTTTTACGAATACAAGTGGTATTAATTTAACTATTAAACATCAAAAATACACTACAAAGATGTGTATAAAAAAGGTGCCTTGTCGAACCAACAAGCACCTAGTTCTTGGAGAGTAACAAAACCTGCGTTTTTAGTAAACAAAGATGTACCAGAATTGTTCCAGATTGGGGTATTTTATAAGTGAATATAGTAATAGTTGGCTCAGACCACAGGATAAGCTCATTATCCATTTAACATATATACAGTCCTGTGAAACTGTAAGGAACCATTCAATTAAATGTGTATTATTATCAATCTTTAGGATGTTTCATAAGCAGTACCGATAAATTTCCGTTTACACTTTACAAACTTCGGAACATTAGTGAATGTCAATGTTTATAAGTCAATAAAATTAAACATTCAGCTACATTTGAGTGAAATGTATTGATTATAACTGTCGCCAAAATACAAATGAACGCTGCTATTCATCTAATTTCTTATTATCTTGCTGTTTTGACATTACGTAAAACAACACCTAAACTCATATCAATGATATCTTTTTAGAAGTTGAACAAATATGATGCCGATATCGCCATTAATTAAACTTCGTCAGTTCAATCTCATGTTTGAAGTACTGAATTTCATTCCGGTGTATTACTACTCATACGCCTGGACTATTTGAAACACTGAACTTCATTCTGGTATGTTACTACACATTTATCTAGACTATTGAAAATACTAAACTTCATCCAAATCTGTTACTCCAACTTTACCTGTTCCGTATGAAATACCGAACTTCATCCACATCGGTTACTCCAACTTTACCTGTTCCGTATGAAATACCGAACTTCATCTAGATATGTTACTCTAACTTTACCTGTTCCGTATGAAATACCGAACTTCATCCAGATCTGTTACTATAACTTTACCTGCTCTGTATGAAATACCGAACTTCATCCAGATATGTTACTCTAACTTTACCTGTTCCGTATGAAATACCGAACTTCATCCAGATCGGTTACTCCAACTTTACCTGTTCTGTTTGAAATATCGAACTTCATCCAGATCGGTTACTCTAACTTTACCTGTTCTGTATGAAATACCGAACTTCATCCAGATATGTTACTCCAACTTTACCTGTTCTGTTTGAAATATCGAACTTCATCCAGATCGGTTACTCTAACTTTACCTGTTCTGTATGAAATACCGAACTTCATCCAGATATGTTACTCCAACTTTACCTGTTCTGTATGAAATACCGAACATCATCAAGATCTTTTAATCTCATTTTTCGTGGTCGGTTCTGATTACTGATTAAGGACTATGTCTTCAACGTTTCGTGATGGTTCTAGTTATTGAAACCTGATCAAGGACTGTGACTCTTAAGTTCGTCTGGAAACTTATAATCAGCAATTTTCAAAATCTTTATTTACCAGTTCTCTAAAGTAGGGAATAATAATAGACTCCACTGAGCATTTTATTTACAACAGATTCATATTACAGTTATTATAAAATTAAATCATGTATTATATACATAGAGATAATTTCAAATACACAGGGCGAAAGTTGTGAACCTTCATACAGCTAGCTATTGGAAACGTGCTCCGTTGATATTACTACACAGTACCACTTTTTTGCTCACATTGTAGAATATGTTGCGGTTGTGGAAGCTGCTGTGGTTCTCTTCTGCACATCTTCAAGGGTATATTGGACCTTTGACAAAACCAAGTGCTGAATGTATAACACTAAAAGAAAAGTGTCATGGTAGAATGTGCAGATCCCTACACAACAGAATCACTTCCTCACGTTCTTGCAAGGTTTATGACATCCATACCATTTATTTTAACAAAAGAAAAACTGATAGTAAGTGAAACACAAATACGACTTAGAAGAACCGCAGTAAGTGCAAAACATCTGATGGTACACGACTTCTTCATTACCCCGTAAAGTGATTATCCTATCGCTCATGTAACGAAGGAAACATAATTTGGATCTCTATGGGTTTTGAATCCGTTTTACTTCACTTCATAGTAACCTAAATTAACTTAGGTATGTGAATAATGTTATGACATATAATATGGATTCCTTTTCTTCGTTAAGGAGAAGTTTAAAATCCATGTCGTGTAGTGACATTCGTGCAGGATACTAGAAGTCTTTGTTTAAAATACATGTCGTGTAGTGACATTCGTGCAGGATACTAGAAGTCTTTACTGATTAAAAACACGTTTCAAATCGTATCACTTCGCATTGAGTCGATGCTATTTCTGTAATGATGGCATTCCGCGGTAATTAAATTGTCCTTTGAGTAGGACTGTTCTTGAATGAAGAGAAGCGAAAGGATGATAACAAAACTTGTACTAAAACGTTCTTCGTGTGTTACGTACTTATTATCAGATTTTGCCTATAAAAATACAGAAACAAAGGTATATGATTTTGTTTAATGATTAGTCAAGATAATTCCGTACTTTTACACTACAAGCAATGAACAAAAAGTAGTGGAAAAATTTGGCATATATAAAATATGTGAATGTAAAAAAAGGTTTATATAGGACAAACTACAAGAAATTTAAAATTCAGACTGAATGAACATAAAATAAATGTTAAAAATAATAATATTACTATTTCACCTTTGGCAGAACATGTTAGTGACACTAATCACACAATTCAATGGGGGAAAATCTGGAAATTTAAATGGTATGAATATATGTGAATCTATTGAGATAATTATATGAAAAATTTAAATTATTGATTAAGGATGATGGACCTGATGGAAATGTTGTTACCAGATGGCGTGAAATTCTTTGATACGTAAATTAGTGTTTTGATAATTGTATAAATAGTATTTTTTGCAAAACATTACACTTCTGAGGATGACGCAGTAGTATACGTCGAAACATGTTGAGTGTATGAGATTGTTTTCCAGTCTCATCGGATTTTTTATCACTTTTTATCCTGTACAGTAATTTATTGTATTTTAGTAATTTTGAGACTGGAAACAATCTTATTTTTAAAGAATTGTGTATAAAATAATCGTTGTTTTTTAAATATTGTGAGTTTTTTTAACATTTGTTTTCCAAGTCTGGTTTGTTCTTATCAGTATCTACAGATGAACGAGACATTTGTTTTCCAAGTTCGGTTTATTCTTTTTATCACTCTCTACACACTATACATGAACGAGACATTTGTTTTCCAAGTTCGGTTTATTCTTTTTATCACTCTCTACACACTATACATGAACGAGACATTTGTTTTCCAAGTCTGGTTTGTTCTTTTTATCACTCTCTACACACTACACATGAACGAGACATTTGTTTTCCAAGTCTGGTTTCTTCTTATCAGTCTCTACAGATAAACGAGACATTTGTTTTCCAAGTTTGGTTTATTCCTCTTACCACTCTCTACACACTACAGATGAACAAGACATTTGTTTTCCAAGTCTGGTTTGTTCCTCTTACCACTCTCTACACACTACACATGAACGAGACATTTGTTTTCCAAGTCTAGTTTGTTCTTCTTTTCACTCTCTACACACTACAGATGAACGAGACATTTGTTTTCCAAGTTTGGTTTATTCTTTTTATCACTCTCTACACACTACACATGAACGAGACATTTGTTTTCCAAGTTTGGTTTATTCTTTTTATCACTCTCTACACACTACAGATGAACGAGACATTTGTTTTCCAAGTCTGGTTTATTCTTCTTATCACTCTCTACACGCTACAGATGAACGAGACATTTGTTTTCCAAGTCTGGTTTGTTCCTCTTACCACTCTACACACTACAGATGAACGACCGCGCGTGCAAATTGTTTGTGGCATAACTGTCTTTTCAGTGAAGATATTTGGAGGAAACGAAGGGTGAGTTGTTATCCACGACCTTCCCAACGGAACTAAGATAATAGATCTGAAAAGTTGTTGTTTTTACCGACAAATATACATTCATTATACGGCCAGTGCTCCGGTGCTCACTGGTGTTTCTCCAGTCAGTGGTATCCACCTGTGAGGTCGGAAACAATTCATTTCGCCTTGTCACCCAAGATGGCATACAGCCACTCGGCAAGCGAAAAACTTGTCATATGAGATTTTCGTAGAAACGC